CCTAAACCCTAAACCCAAACCTTCGTAGAGATCCTGAACTTGCTCTTACCAACCTTTAGTTGGTTTAGGGTTTAGGGTTTAGGTCTTATAGGGTTTAGGGTTTAGGGTTTAGAACCCTAAGGTTTAGGGTTTAGGGCTTGGGGTTTAGGGTATACCAAGAGGCCGATACTAAGTCCCATGACCCGGAAGCCTCAAAGCCTCAAACCCAAACCCGAAACCCCAAAAGGAACCTAAACCCTAAACCCTCAAATCAAACCCCAAACCCTCAAAGGAACCTAAACCTTATAGACCCTAAACAATAAACCTTTGAAGGAACCTGAACCCTAGACCCTAAACCCTAAACCCCAAACCCTTCAAGTAGCCTTAAAGGACTTTGAACCGTCAACCCTCTCCACGTCTTCTGCCTTGAAGCAGGTAAATGCCGGGAGCCCCTCCACGACCCCAAACTCTAGGTACAGGGGTTTAGGGGTTTAGGGCTGGAGGGGTTAAGGGATTTAGGGTTTAGGATTTAGGGTTTAGGGTTTCGCGATTTAGGAGATTAGGGTCGACTGTTCAGGAGTTTGGGCTTTCGGGTTTAGGGTGTAGGGGCCTGAAGCCCAAAGTAATAAACCCCGAACCCAGAAGTCTTGCTCTGTTTCTTTTCTCTTTCCCCGCAGGGCCGCTTGGGTCCTGCAAGGCGCAGACCAACCATGCCACCAAACCGAGCAAAGTCTTGGATTTCGAGACATTCCCAGAGAGCCCAGCGCCGATACACCTCGATCATCGTTATCAACTGTGGCATAAGCCTCTGCTAAGGGGTACTGGCGTCTCTAGCGTCTCGACAGGTTTGTGATGAGTTTGCAAGTCCTGTGAATGGTTCAAGGACGCAACTGTAGGTTGCGGGATGGTGAGGTTGAGGGTTTAATTAGGGTCTGAATAAGTTGCCAATACTTTTCCTCAGGGGTTCCTGAATATCCACTATTCTATCATATGCCCCAAAGCCCTGTTCTAGTTATTCAGGCCCCTAAACCCTAAACCCTCAACCCTAAACCTTATATTCGTTTGCTCTCTACGGGCTTAGTGTTGTCGCATGTCAAGAAATTTTCCGGTGTGCGCGCCCTGCCAAAAAAGGACGCCGAACTGGGCTCCGAGCTGAACCCCCAAACAATGTATATGCGGGTTTAGGGTTTAGGGCCTAGGGTCCAGGGTTTAGGGTCTAGGGTATCTAGGGTCTTGGGTCTAGGGTCGAGGGTAGAGGGTCTAGGGTTTAGGGTCTAGGTCTAGGGTCTAGGGTTTAAAGGGTCTAGGGTTGACGGTTTAGGGTTTAGGGTCTAGGGTTTAGGGTTTAGGGTTTAGGGTCTAGGGTTGACGGTTTAGGGTTTAGGGTCTAGGGTTTAGGGTCTAGGGTGCAGGGTCGGTCCTTCAGAAGCATTCTCACTTCTTGTCATAGTGAAGCCCAAGGGGCACATGAAGATGTTGATGTGTTCAATCATGAAGCCAAGCTAAACTCACACCCTTCCTTTGGCCTAGTAGATAACCTTACAAGAATCGGACAGATAGAAGACCGGCCCGCATGCAGTGGGGATTGAATCGTTTTTCCTTCTGACATGCCCCTGTTGTAAGCTGGGCTGCTTCAAGCCCGAGGTTAATAATCACACTGTCGGGGCGTTGCAGATTAGCTTTAGTGTTTCTGGTCACAAGGGGCTTTAGCAGTAGTGTACTTTAAACCCTAAACCCTAAACCCTAAACCCTACAGGTTACACGCAATAGGGGGTGAACTCTAGGGCAATCCTACGCACCGCTGTCTTGAGCCTGAAGCTCCGAGCCCCGGAGATGCAGGGTTTAGGGTTTAGGGTTTAGGGTTTAGGGTTTAGGAGTTTAGGGTTTAGGGTTTAGGGTTTAGGGTTTAGGGTTTAGGGTTTAGAGGTTTTGGTTTAGGGTTTAGGGTTTAGGGGTAAGTAACCTTCACTCTTGCCATCGCGCAAGGCGATGCAGATCTGGCAGGAGCAAAGCTACTGGGAGTTGGCGCTGTCACGCTCGCTCAGTTTTTGGAGGGCTTAGGGTTCATAAGAGCTTGGGAGGGTTTAGGGTTTAGGGTTTAGGGTTTAGGGTTCATAAGAGCTTGGGATTAAGATGATAGGCTTCGGGGTTTAGGGGTTAAGGGTTTAGAGTTTGGGGTTTAGGGTTTAGGGTTTAGGGGGTCAGGGGGGGGGATTTCGTAGCATGTTACGAGTATTTTTCTTGCCGTTCGGGGTTTCTGCGAGGGACGAAGGTAAACAGGCCGGGGGGACTGTCGGTGTTTCCCTTTAAGGGAGCTCGTACTTGCGAAAATGCTTTCAGGCGCTTTAACGGGCTAACTTACTAAAGCTACCCGGACCCCTTTGAAGAATCGAGCAACACCCCTCAGGCCTAAGCCCCACCAATCGCAACCGCTTATCCCTAAAACGTCCGGAGCCCTACTTGGAGGCCCTTTTGACTTAGTAAGTAGGGTTAGTAAGGTGGGTTATGGGGATTATAAGAGGGTTTCTAGGGGATACTAAGTAGACTTACTAAGTCAAAGGGGCCTCCAAGTATACTCCCAACTCAAACCAAGGAGCTGTTCAATCGGGCCCGAAACCCTTGGACCCTAAACTCTACACCCCCCGACAATGTACTCGTTGACAACAGCCAAGCTCCTTGGGGTCTACCCCAAGAAAGCCATGATTTAGTTCTGGGGTCACTCCTGGCCGAAATGGCCCCTAAATCCTAGTTTATAATCAAAACCTACGGAGAAGCAGGTTCTGGCGGTTTAAGGTGTTATATATGAGACATCCGAAGGTTATTCTAGACCCCTGATCAAAAGCCCGCCCTTTTCCTGAACGTCGCTAAGATCAGGATCCCTACTGCAATCCTTATTTTGGGAGATCGTTGATTGATCAGCCCTAAACCCAAAACCCTAGGGCCAAAACCCCTAAACCCTACACCCTAAACCCTAAACCCTAAACCCAGGGGACCCGTCCCAACCCTCAAACCAGGGCCCGGTTGCCAGGGGTCTCCTCGAAGATCTCCGCCGGCACCCGTGGAGCGCGGCTGACCAAGCAAAGGCTCCGGCTCAAGTGTTTGGGGGTTTAGGGGGTTCAGGGTTTGGTTGGTTTCGGGTTTAGGGTTTAGGGTTTGGGGGTTTGGGGATCAAAAAGACTAGAGTTTAAGGTTTATTGAGTGTTTCAACATCCCTACACCCTAAACTCCATACCCCAAACGGCCCTAAACCCTAAACTCTATACCCTTAGCCCTAAACCCTAAACTCTGAACCCTGGGGTTTAGGATTGCGCAGGGCCATAAAAGAAGTCGTGGAGCCTGGGGTTGCCCACCCATGCATAAACTTAGCAAGCCTATAACCCGAAAGCATTGCGGACAGGGTCGATTGAGCATTTGCGGTTTTGGGACTGGGGTTTCAGGGCATTTGGGAGTGCGAAGTATGTTCGAGATCGTTCGTACAACCCCTAAACCCTAGACCCTAAACCCTAAACTTAAATAGCCTTGTCCACCATGAGTTTAGGGTTAGCACTTCAAGGCTGAGCGTTGGCTTCCTGAACCCTAAGCCATAAACTTTGAACGATAAGCCCTGAACCATAAACAAGCCGTACTATAGGAGCCTAAATAGTCACCAATACTATTTTTTGGGGGTGGTTCCTTATCATAGTATAATATGCCCAAAAGCGATAGACCCTAAACCCTAAACCCTAAACCCTGAGCCTTACCTAACCGTAAGCCATAGACCCTGAACCTTAAACCTAAACCTTCTACCTAACCGTAAGCCATAGCTGTAGACCCCAAACCCTACAAAATAGTAGGTCATGGCCCCTAGCCCTTAAAGCGGTGGGTTCTTGGATCCCCAGGTATAGATCTTAAGCCCTACAAGCAGACACCTGGAGCCATGATCTCTAGAGCCTAAGCCCTGAATCCTCAACCCTGAACCCTAAACCTCAACTAACCGTAAGCCATACACCCTAAACCTTAAATCCTAAACCTTAATCCCAAAACCTTACCTAACCGTGAGCCATAGACCACATACCCTGAACCGAGTCCGGTTCCGATCCAGGTCCACGTGGCTGCTGCTAGGGCCTCCCAGGAGCCGGGCCTCGTCTTATTTTAAGGGTTTAGGGTTTAGGGTTGAGGGTTTGGGGTCTAGGGTTTGGG